GATTATTAGTCATCACCTGAACTGTAGTATTCCAAAAATGAAACAACGATGAAAAATCCAGTAACGACGAAGAAAACCATCTAATGCTAAACTAAAGCAGATTTAATTCTTAATTTAGGTAACTCCTGTGTTTCATTATTTGCCGCGCTGTACGAAGAATCGCGTTATATGAAAACAGTAGAAGCAATATTTTTGGCGTTGTGAAAACTCGCGTTATACGCGAGCTTACTGTACGTACATACTTACTGAGAGCAATATGCGCTCCCGCGTCTGGTGGATAATTTCTCCGCACGGAATTGATCACCGGTAACGCGATAGTGCGCAGACCGAGCTCCCGTGCCTTTTGTAAAACGTTCCTACGAGCAGACAGGAACTGAATTATACGCTGTTGCATACAGTATTCTGTTTCCAACATATTCCATGCAGTAATTCTCGGTACAGAGTGTACGGTACTTGATATCGATAGGAATTTACCTATAGCAGCAGTGCAGCGTGTTTTGAGCCGCCGTCTGGTACTTAACGTTGTACACTGGTCCAACCGTATGAATAATGAAGCGCGCAGGTAGCCCGTGGCCTTGCGTTACTCTTACTTCGCCGGTCTTGCATTCTGCGCAAAGATTAATAGATTAATCCAACGTGAAGCAAAACGATACCTGATGTTTATGAATCTGCATACCTTTGATCTCGTTAAATATTTCCATCTGGAGCGCGGAACCGGCTCGGGCAAATATTCTTTGGCACATTTCGCTGTTCTCGTCCATCGTCTCGCAGGTCGAGTTCACCACTGCGTCCACTTGCAGGACAGAGATGTCTCCAGTCCTGGAACGTAACAACGTTCACGTAAATAAATAAAGAATTTCAATGCTCAATGCTTGTTCGTATAACAATGAGAGTTAAAAGAGGGATTGTAAACAGACTACGGATTTTATGCATTTATGGAAAAATTGTATGTACAGAAAATATGTATAAAACATTTCAATGTCCAGTGACACGGAAAATGTAAAGAGTAAAATGCATGTTATGATTTTTCACATTAAAATCGACAGTTTTTGTACCGTAACATGTTATACTAACATCAGTCGTCGTGGTTTCACTCCTATTATTGTTAGACTGTGGATTTTATACATTTATAGAAAAATTGTACATATAGAAAATGTAAAAAATTAATTCAATATTTAAGGACATAAACTGTATATTGTTTTTAAGATATCAATGAAACTTCTATTTGCATTTCATTTTCTACATTGATAGTACGAACGGTTTATTTTGCATAATGGTTCGCAGTATAATTATAAAAAAATACTTACCATAACGCAAGCTTGTTGTTGAGCGCCGGTTGACACGGGAAAGGACTTATTGTATGGTGCGTTGGCTCTCCAATGGAATTGGTGTAGTCCGTGAATCGGTGTTGGACAGGGAAGTCGGACCATCTTTTCAAAGCGGCCGTCTCCACCACGTCCGGGGCAACACCCAAGGGTTCCATCAGCCTCATTCAGCTAAAAGAAAAATAAATAATGATTACAAATATAGAAATGAAATGACTTTTTTCATTTATTCTAATTCCTTCTCTAAAACGGTAGAAATTGCGATTATTCATTCACGAATATCAGATTGCCTTTTAAACGTTACGCGCATACGCGCCGGGGCGATAAGGACAGCGCGAGATTCGAAAACGGCGTACGCCACGTGCCTACCACCGGAGAATACCGTGCGTCACAAAATCGGTCCGGGGGATGCGACGAAATTAGATCACTCGTAAGGAAACACAGGCGGGGGAGAGAAGACTCGGTCAGATTTAATAGGATCGTAAAGCGAGGGGTGGCGAGGCCGGGGAAGCTGCGGGAGCCGAAACGGTTGCTAATGTACGAATAATACCGTCTCCGATATCGTGGAAATCTAAAAATAAACAATGGTATCGATGAAAATCTGGGACGCACCCCGGGCTAACGGGGACGGCGGCAGCGGGACGCCCAAGGCCGCAACCCCGATCGGGAAGTTTCGAAAAACAAGATAATTCGCGGACGACACTGGGGTAACGTAGTAGCGCGCCACCCGTTCGACGCCTTCTCGAAAGGAAAGATGTATTTAGCGTTTGCATCGGGACGTAGGCTTCCCTAATGGCGAGGAGACAGAGCCTGGCGCCGTCTGTCCTCCCGCGGAACTTATATCCCGGCGATCCCATAAAGAACAGGATCATCGACCTCCTTGCGTCACTGGTAATTCCGTTCCTCTCTTCCCACGGCCCATCTCAACGCGCTGGATCTGTTCGATCACCTGAGGTTCCGCGAGGAAGTACGACTACATAGATTGGGGGATGATGAAATTTCTCAGTCGACAGGAAAATGAAAGACGCACATTCGTTTCGTCTGACATTTTGGAGAAATCATCTCGTCTATTTTAAGGTTGTACGAGATGTACTCTGCCAAAAGTTCATGAAATGTGATAAGCTGTGTTCAAAATTTGAAGCAGCTTCTAGGAAAAACTATATTTACAGAGAAGTAAGGTTTGCAAAATTGTTCCACGTGTCTCTTTAAGGGAATTATTAACTATACTTTCTATTCAACTTAGGAGGAGATAGAATGGTGGGAAGCCATACTTTGCATTCTATACGTATATGTAGCTTTATTTCAGCCTATTGACCCAGAAATGGACTCCGTTTACAATTTCCACTACTCATCCTTCCATACCTTCCGCACTCCGTCCTCTCTCCACTTCCCTCGTCTTCTAATTGTTAGTCTCATATTTTGTACTATTTTTGCCTGGTTACACGTAAAATTGAGGAAAATACGTGAAAAATTTGCCGACAATTGTAAGAAAACTCACGTGACTATTCCGGCCCCTTAAGGAGTGACAGAATAATCTGACAGGGAATACGGAGAATCGAAGAGCTCGCAATCCTGATTCTGAATTCGCTAAGGTTTCTCATTGATCGCAACCTGTCGTACCATCGCAGAATAAACTCGAGATGCCATTTACATAAGTCGATGTGATGAACATAGGAAACGGGAACGAATCGAAGAAGCGCGAGGAGCGTGTCGTTCCATCCGTAATGTTTGCTCGGTTGAATCAACAGAGACGCGGAACGCTGGAAACGACCAACGGCTCGAGTCTGTTGCGGCTCGTTTGAATAGCGTTCTTATCAACGCTGAGCAAAGTAAAATTGCACAACGGAACGAATTAGCATTTTTATGACACCGGGTTAGCGCGACGAACCGGCGGAACCTTGACGAATGTGGAGCAGGAGGATGGCCATCGATTGGGTGAGCGAATTCCGATGTTTACCCTGCCAAGTTCTCGGCGCGCGCGTTAAGAACACATCCGGTCCGATCGATTGTAAAGGAAAGCCCCGTCTGGCAAGATCGAACTCGGAACGTCCCGCGGGGTCACGGCCGCGTATTCTCGGTGTTTTCTAATAAAATATTTGACGCCTCTCCGATGGCGGGATCGAAGGTAACGCGAGGAACAAAGGACCCTTGAAAACGGTTCGACGGAACGATAGAAATTAACGATGCGCGTTGCAGCGACGTTCTCGAAGGATCGCTTTAACCTCGGTTCACCGCGAAAGGGTTAATGCTTCGATCTATTCCAAGCACAAAGGTAAAAGCCGCCGGACTAATCGGCCGTAAAGGGACCTCCGCTTTTACCGCCACCATCCTTGAAAATGCATTCGAAATCGAATCTCGCCTGTTCCCATCGCCGGACGGAACATTCAGCTTGTCAATCGGGAACCAAGGGGGAGGGGGGGAGGCGGGTTGAAAAGAAGAGGCAAGTAGAAATTGCATCGAGCTTCGCCGCTCGCAACTGTCGCCGAAGTTCCCGCGGACTCGCCTCGCGCGTCCTCCTTTTTCCACGATTTCCGTGCGTTATCGATCGCGAAGAAATTGAACTTTCGAAACTGTCGCAAATGTCTCGACTTTCGAGAAAAGTTTCCTCGAGGAAAACTAAACCCCCGCCCTCGACCTCGTATCTGCTTTCCACCTGTGAAGCTTTCGACGGTCGAACGGTTCGTGAGAAAAATAATCCCGGTCAAAAACGACGAGATTCACGATTTTGACGATTTAATTAAACGCAGAGCCAGTCCTCGTTCCCTCGGCGAGGGACCGAGTCGTCTCTTTCCATGACCCAGATTAAGGAATTAACGACAGTCGCCGTCTCCGCCTCTCGAAAGCTCGTGTTTCGTAAAATCTTTATCACCTCCTTATAATTGTGCTTTTCGGATGCAAGTCGTTATTCGTAGCTCGCGTGACTGTGTTCTCCACGGTTCTGCTCGTGAAACACTTGCCGGAAGGCTTTCGACCTGTAATACCCGGGTTAAGTTGCGCCCTTTCATCGATCTCTCAAGGCGAGACACCGTCCGATGATTTATTCGATCTCGATAAGCTTAATCTGTGAAAATTATCCGGAAATTGTTTATTGCGATTACAAACCAGGTCAATCTTGCTACATATTTTACCAATTTTATTTGTATATCTATAACAGTCGAGTCTCCAAGTTTTCGCATCGACTTTTGCAAATGTACAAATTATATTTGTTTTTAGAAAAATAACAAACGTCATAAAATATGTCTATTTATTATTATATACTGTCTATAATATATGTATTCTGTAGTAATAAATAAATGAATGAATAAATATTTTCAATTTTGGACGTATCCGTTCGAACTATCTATTGCAAATTACCATTACTCGTTGAGAATCGATTGGAAACAATAAACGCAAATTGAGTTGGAGAAACACTCAAATCATACCTTCAAACAATCGCTGCTCCCTCAAACAATCTCCGTCGCCGCCTCGTTCCATAATTGCGTCCTCTTTGCACGTAAACAGTCCGGCAAACTTTCGCAAAAATATTTTCTCCAGAACTGTTCGTCCGAAAACGACGAATAAATTCACGAGAATGGTAAAAAGAGGATCTCCGGTCGAGCACTCATCGGAAATCGAAATACTAATCAAAAGTGCATCTCGATTAATGGTTATCCCGTTGGAAACCAATGTTCGTCCGGTTAAAAAAGTACACTCGACTGTACAAAAGTTGAAACGTAACCAAGTTTAATTAAACGGAATTGGCAATGAATGGGAACTAGCCGCTAGCGAACGAGTTCTCGTTTTATACAATAAAAAAAAAAAAAAAATAAATAAAAATCTCTTGTTCCCGCATCGACCGGGCAACGAAATTAAATCAAACGAAATTCGATGAATCGGTGTCATCGGAACCGCGACGCAACCGTGTTCTACGATTACCCACGATTTAGAACGAACTGCCGCGGTCGTCGTTGGAATGCAATTTTCTCACCGATTGAAATCGATGGAAAAATAAATGAAACCGGACGAATTAACGACGAGTATATACGAGCCACGGTCTCGATTACTCCGTACGTAATTGGCTCTGTTCCGAGCGAGTCAAAAGGGAAACCGAGCGCTTCGCCGCGAAACTCACCCCCGGCTCGAGAGTCCGACTTTCATTCGCCGCGTGTCACCGCGCCGCGACGCGCCGTGTCGTGGCGAGCTTTCAGAGGAGGAAAGCTTTGTTTCGCGGTCCACCGACCGGCCGCCCCGTGCCCCAATCTATCCGGCTTTCTATTAAACAACAAACGACCTCACACACGGCTCACCGGTCAATCGATGTTCCACATTCGAGCAAGGCGCCCCCCCGTCGCCCTCCCCGCGCCACGCCACGCGGGGCTTCCCGCTGAAAACGCCCGTACGGTCCACGGGAAACCGATTTCCCCGCGGCGGGACCGGATCCGAGTGCACTAAAGTGCACCGATCGCTCCGCTAAAGCTTTCCTCAAAACAGTTTTCCACCTATAAAATACAATTTTGCCAGTGATCAAAGGGAGCGAGAAAGGATTTTTTTTTTTAATTAATATCTCGGCCTAGAATCCCATTTCGAGTCAAAGCGAGGAATCAATCGCCAGTAATGAGAAATTGTGGATTCGCGTTTATACCGATTCCGATGCGATATGCAATCTCGTTCTATTAATATTAGCTTACTGTTATCCGTATTGATTCATATAGCATTACTTAATTAGAGAGAACTTAATTTCAGATATTTTAAGTTTCATGCAAAAAACGTGTTAACTGGAATTGAAATAGTAAGAGTCTTAAAATCATGTACATTGTTTAATTTACTTTTATATTACGTGTCGTAATTAATGAAATGGCTAACAACCGCAAATAAAGAAATTAAAGAAAATAAATAAAGAGAAACTGCATATCGGTGTATACCCGTGTGGGCATGGGATTTCCGGGTATGGAAACTTCCGCGAACTCCGCACAGTTGTCTTTAGTTTTACGTATGCACGTTTAACGCCGACAGCTACACAGCCAGGCGAAACGTACTTACGATTTTCCAGGAAAAATCCGCCGTCTTTGATTCCTTCTTTATGCACATTCGCGTGTATGCGTGCGCGCCGCGTGGGAGACGTAAATGGAACCATTCACGAGCATATAAGCTCGCAATTTCTATTCAAATGAGCGTGCTACTTTGAAGACTGGATTTTGAATTATTGCGAAATTATTGCGGCATTCAATGCTAACCAGGTGCGCTCGGGGCTCGTATCGGAGGGTCCCTATCGCGTCGGACGTCGATGAAAGGTCATTTACGTTAATCGCGAACAATTGCGAATTACGATAGCGGGAAGAATTCATAATTAACAACGAGATTTCGCACAACAGTAGACAACGCGAGAAAGAACAATGGAATCTGCACTGACCGTATCTTTCGTTCAATTAATTAAATCTCCTCTGTGAAAAATTCGAGGCAATCGCAGGCAGAAAATTTCCGTCGTCGTAAAATTATTGCAAGTCAGCGCGATGGAACAACGAAGATAATTCATTACCGTGAACAAATAGAAACGACACGAGCGTCGATATTCCGGGAAGAAAAAATATCGCGTTCTTTGTTCGCGTCAGAAGTGCTCGAACGAATACGCGACGAGTCGCAAGGAACGTTGCGCGGACTTGTAACTGCCAGTTTAAAAACGTGGCACCGAGGAGGACTAGTGACCCACGTTCGTGACCCACCAAAGGGGTAATTGAATGTGTTAAGCGCGGCAGACGACTGCATCGAGGAAGCCTTTTCGATACGCGACGGTTTTACAATGCGGGGCTTCCAAACAAATCCTTTGCCATCGCCTATTCTCGCCGATGAAGCTGAAAACACGCGGTTGGCTTGCGAAGGAAAAATCGGGCGTAAAGCGGATCTCCAGATTCCACGTTATCGCAATTTGCAATGACCCAATGAAATTAGTGCCGTTCGACATGATAGTTGTTACCCTACTATGTAAAGCAAGATAAGGCTTAAGAATAAATAGTTACGAATACGAGATTTCTTATCATAAAGTTGTGGTCAACACATTCCGGACAACCCGATATATTAATTTATTTAATTTTTTTCGATACGTCGTCAGTTTCCACGGGTTAAGAACTTTCTTATGCGCTTCGCGAGGTTGGCACATATGCTTGCATACGCGTGCAGCGAAAATTGTGAACTGTTGACGGGGTAGCATGTCCTCTCGCCAAGCCGGAGCCAAGAGAGCACTTGACACAGTACTACATCTTTTCATTAGAAGTTGAGGAGTCGCAGCGCGTCTTTTCTCGAGTGCCCGAACACCTTATCGGTGGAGTGCCGCGCTGTCCCGTTGCCGAGATTTAAACGCGATCGTCGCCAATTTTTATTCATTCCCACGACTACGCATTTAATCGTCTCTTCGATCATTTCAGTTTCTACTTCGACTCGAAGCAATGCAATAAGTGCAAAATCCAAAGAAATGAACACATTCGTTCGAATTTCTGTTCATTTTACAATTTCTACTCGCTGGCTTGAGATTCGAATGGATTGATAAAGTATTTTATAATATTGTTAAATGCAATTTCTGTTTTTAAATGCAATTTCATCCGAATTCTGTCAGATCATCGATTAAATCTCGTTTATTTTTTTAATCCATATATGTATTTGTCCTTATCTCTTTCGTCCAATATTCAAAAATGATATTCCTATTTATATTGTATTTTACAATAAATTTATCATCATCATTATTAGCAGTATATTTCCCCAGTAATATTAATTTCATTTGATCTCCCAAGAGGCTGTAGATTGGAAATTACCCAGGAGTTATCAGTCATTACAAATCGGCGTAGCCATCTGTGCCTTATCTCTAAGAACAACGGCATGTACGGTATTCGATCAACGATCGATTTCCGAACGCGTTTCCACGGCGATAAAAGAGATCGTCGACCGAGTTTCGCCTCGAAAAGCGCGGGTCTTCCATTGGGCCCGACGTAACCGGGAAAATTGTTCTCCGCTGACGCCTTTCACGTCACAAATCTGCTTTTTCCTTTTTTTTTTTAATTTCTGGAACAAGCAGCTGGGAATTTGCACTCGGCAAAAAACTCGGAGGACAGCTTTATCCAGTGACGGCATTAATCGTCGGCGAAATTAACAGTCGCGAGGGAAACGCGAGAAGGGAAACGAGGCCATTTGGCTCCTCTCTATTTTTTTTTTTTTTCTCTCGATCGATTCAAACGAAGATACGTCGATCCTGGCGAGTGGCGGAGGGCGAGGTCCGCCGATAAAATGTCGTTTAATTCTTTCGGCGGTAATTAACGAGCCGACGCGAAAAGGTCGACGATTGTTAAACGAATTATCCCCGGCTGCACTTGCGTGAGCGCCGACTGTATTTGCCACCGTGGGACCCGCGAACCTTTTTTTCATCTCTCCGAGCGACAATCCATTTCGCAAATGTTTACGTAAAATCGCGTGCGTACATATCGCGTTGATCGATTTTTCAAACATCAAGAACGTTCCATTTTTAAAACAACCTTTATCGAAATATTAAAAAAATAAAATAAAATTTCATAAGCGATACGAACGGTGAAAGTTTCAACGTTCTCCATAGGTCGGGCAACAGTTTTCTTTACGAAAATAATCAGAATATCCACCTGCGGCTGTTCGAACGGCCATTACGGATTAATAAATCGACTGGTGAGTCAGTGAATGACGCAGGGAGCCAAGATCCAAGGTAACTTTGTGCCAACAATCGCTAGTGAATTGATTATCGATCAAATATTGGCTAATTCACGATGTTATCTTTGCGCAAGCCTCGTATCGATGCGACGCTACGATAACGTTTCCCAATTAGACCTACAAACCTTCCGACGATTTTTCAATCGTCCGTCGGATCGTGTAAAAACTGGAGCGATCTAGCCTTGTTCGAAAGACCGAGATCGTATATACTTTTTCGGCTATAAACTTTTTCGCAACTTCGTCTACTTCGACTCTGAGTGAAGCGACTCGAATGTACGAAGATAAACTCACAGATCATAATTGTTCGCGTTGTACGTATGCGAAGGTGATCAGTAACTTGGCCAAACACATCGACATAAGTGTTACGTTATTAATTTTTATTTCTTTTTGAAAAATCGTCGTTTAATCAGGATAACGAAGTTTCGAACACCTCATTACTGTTCGAGCGTTCTTCCTCCAATACGCGTGCCCGTTCTGTTTGGGTAGGAAAAACTGCGCAATGATACTCGAAGTAAGAATCTAATTGCAGCGTTTCAGATTTTAATGAGCGCTTGTCGCGGATTGTTAAAACACGAATGGGTACTTTGTGCGGTTGTGTCCGATCGGCGCGGAGTTTTAATAGGCGGACTTCCGATTTTATACAATACGGACAAATTGCAATTTCCCTAACACGGACGGTTTAGTCTCGCGAAATGAAATAGCGATTTTATCGTAAATATAAGTCTATAAATGTTTGCAGACGTTTTAAAATTGAATAACTTTTTTAATATTCGACTCGGCCAATTAATTGGTTTTTAAATATGGGAGGGATTAGGTTGCTGTATGACGTGTGACAGGAGATTAAAAAGATTTACTGTTGCTCGGATTTATGATGAGGAAAGTAAAAGGCACAATTTTTCAGATTTTTAGCCGACTCTTTAATAAAGATTTAAAATATACTTTTTGTAGATCCAAGAATGTTGTATGTACTGCGGATTTTTATACAGAATAAAACATTTTTAATATTAATTTACAAAATGAAATCAGGATCCAAGTTTCTTCTACTGCTCAACAATAATGAAATATATTATACTATTAGTATTTTAAACATCATCGTATACATTATATGCAGTCTTTGCATTTTCTGCCCATATAATTTTTCTATAAATGCATAAAATTTGCAGTCTGGTTATGAATGTGCAAAGTTTCATTAAATCCGATGCTGTGACCTATAAACGATGAAAAATTAATAAAATACGAGATTTTACGATTTCCCTAACGTTGAAATAAATTTAAAAAGGTTATTTAATTTTGAAACATGTGCTGCTATTTACGGACGTCATTCTACGTAAGAAATTCTTTAATCAATTTTATAAGGCCACATCTAAGAATATTGTATAACTGCTAAAGCGATTAGCTTCCTAATACGATTGAATAATAACCAGCATGAAAAATGGAACTTACGCGAGGCGGAAAAATATTTACTTGAAACCGTGTCGCGTAACAACTTTTGAATAAAAAACTGT